ACTTGCTCAATTTGCCTTCCTTTTATACCATAAATGTACTATATAAATTGAGCTTCAAGATAGGAAGTTGTTTGCTATATATTTGTCTCTTCTTTTTTTCCTCCCCTCTCCTGTATATTCACTGATGGATCTAGCCTCTAAGGAAGAGGTTACTATATGACTTAATGCCATGAGTCAGTGGGAATATAGTAAAAAAAATGCAGAATTATGCCCATATTCTTGCTGTTAACATATTAAAGAGTATTACACTGAAGTCCAGCTGCCAGCATTTTCATTTATTCTGACTCCTATTTCAGGGAAGTGCTGAGGTTATTTCCCGAGCAGTCAAGGCAATTTCACTGGACCATAAAACAACTGAACTTCTGTTCTTAACTCTTATCCCCAGCCCATAAGTGGAACACAGCATATACAGGGGATAAGGTACAACTGAGTACATTCAGTTTATATTGGTTTTTAGAAAAACTTTAAAGAAGCAGACTATGGCTGGGAGACTACTCCTTCAGCGTCCTCCCACCGAAATGACGACACAGGTGATGTTCTTGTGTTCTCTTTGATATGTCATCTTTTTCCCTGGGTTTTGTTGGCTCGATTGTTCCTGGATTACTTTTTTTTGACAAAACCTTTCTCTTTTTCCTAGCCAAAGTATCAGTGAATGCCTTTAGGGAAAACAGAACTTTACAGCAGTAGTTTGATTGCTCTCTCTGGAGCTGAATGATACAAAATCTATCTTTTAAAACCTCTCTGAGCAACAGGGAGGCCTAAACGGATTTCATTATAATATGATGTAAAATACGGGCCTCACACAGTCATAACTATGCACTTTCACAGCAATTATCTGCTCTCCTGATTGGAAGAGGACTGTGCCTTGATGAATCATTTCAAATATAAACCACATAACTAACAGCTCATTAAATTAGTAGTACAGAAAAACCAATGTCCAGACTGTAAATGAGCTGTGGCGGTTTCAGACTGAAAATGGGTCAGCTGAGGTGCACACAGAGTGAGCCAGAAGTTTACAGAGCCCTTTAGAAGACCATGATCTATGGCAGCAGGGCACTGGGACTACCAGTATAGCTACACCTCCTCCTTGCCCTGACACCATACTTAAAAAACCCCCAAACAATAATATAAAAACTGCCCAGTGACATTGAATAAACTTGCTTTCTTTACACATCTTTAAAAAAAAAAAAAAAAAAGATGTGTGGTGCAGTCTGGAGGGTCAGTATCTGTTACTGTGCTTTGTCTTCAGCTCTGGTCACCTGCACCAATTAGTGAGAACCCATGGGGGCATGAGTGGACTGGGGTGCCCTGTGTGTCTATATCACAAGGCTGAGCTCTCGTGAGGATTTGCTGATGTCAAAGAGCTGCAGATGATATTTTGGATTCCCTTACTTTCCCCACAGGCTGCTTTCGTGAGGCATTTCGAGGCACTCTGTCACTCAGTTGGCTGTGACTGAGCCATGAGTTTAATATTCGTAGGGAGGTACTAAGAGAGAGACAGCTCTAAAAAGGCAGAGAGCTGGCATGCTTATTCAAGCCTTCCCTCTAGAGGAAAACAGGCCAAAATTCACTTTTACCATAAAAAAAATCTCCAGAATTGTATGCTGTGGTCAAATGCCAAGTTTGGAAAACATCAACCCCAATGCAGGAATCTGGAGAAAAGTATGGCTGCGAGGAAATACCTTCCCACAAAAAATGGTAAAATGCATAGCTTTAGCTACCACAACAGCAAGAAATGAAGATGTTGGAATTACTAAAAGCCTGTTTGTCCATTCGCAAGAGTTGCTTTTCAGTGGAAAATGAGCTGGATGGTGCCATAAACTCATGTGAAGCTTTTGTAAAGGTTTTTTTCCCCCCCTTGCACAACAAGAGAGACTGCAGACTGCTAAACATAGCTGTTTACATGTTCAGCTCAGTCAGCCGACAGCCACTGCCCCACGTGAAGGGAGATGCAGATGATTTCTTCCCAGAAAGGAATGTGTCCAGCTTTAAGCAGAGTTCCCTTAAGAGACCACTGGTAATGGCAGACAGCACTGACCTAAAAGTACCTGGTTGCCAAAACAAGATTGTCTCATTTTCCTTTACTGGCTTGGCCAAAAGTCAAGTTCATTCTTCAAATCCCTTCTTTCTTTTTTTTTTTCTTTTTTTTTTTTTAAAGTTCCTGTAAGCAGTGATTAACAATTCCTGAACTCGTGTTGCAGCGATGGCGGTGTGATAGCGGTGCAAACCTGCCAGCTCTGTCACAGTCCAGACATGCAGGTACACATGATGTGCTCACACCCTGTCATCTGACAGGCCTTCAGGTAGCAGAGATGTATATCACCTCAATGAGTTTTAATAACTGAGGTGTGCTAAAGCTGTGAAGTACCAAGCACTTCCTACCCACCCTCTTCTTTGCCAGATTAAGCCCTAAATCCCTGTGTTTATTTGCTAGGAGAATATTTAGGATATATTTTAAATATTTTCTCAACTCAGTTTAGTTGTTTTAACTGTGAAGCTGTTTCTCAGAGACCAAGACTAATACTGAAAAAACTATAAAGTTAAGATCTGGTGATGATCAACCAGCTTCAAGGAACTCATCAGTGTTTTAGATGGACTCATTTTCAGACATAGTCAGCTATAGCTGGGACACTTGGAGAAGTCAGCTCAGTTTTCAGATGGCCCCTTCAGTCTTCACTTCTCATACTCTTTCTTAGCTTTTTTATTCTTCTCTTCACACCTTTTACATCTCTGCTCCTCCTATCTCTTTCTTCCCTTCTCACATGGCTTTCTCCTCTTCTCTTGCTGATGCTGTCAGCTGCAGCCCCAGCACCAGCGCATGCAAACATTTTTTGTGCCAGCCCTCCAGGAATGTGTAGGCTACAGCCCAAGAGCTGAGGTGGGAGAACACGCAGGACCAGAGTGTCACAGTACACATTACCCCAGCCCTGGTGGGTTTGGATTCCTCTAACCACAGGCCTGATCCTCAGTGCCCCTTAAGTCTATTTACAATGTGTTTAATAATTTCCACCAGCTGGCCCTTATTGAGAGTGTCACTCAATATTTATATAACAATTTCATGTATCAAATAAATGGCAAAAAACTCCAGCCTAATCAACTTTATTGTTTTTAGGCTGATAAATTTTTTGTTTTTAATTAACAGGCATTTGTCGTCAGCAGTTTCCCTCTGGGGGTTCTCAAAACCCTGTTGAGTATGAGTGTCCAAACCTCCTTTACCCCTGCAGCAGACTTGGGATCAGGCCCCCAGTGCTGAAACACAGTCTTTCAAGGTCCCTTTTCACTTCTAGGATCAATCACCTAGAACCAAAGGAGTGCAATTAAAGTTAATGTCCCACATGGTTTAAAAAATAATTGTGAATGGCTTTGAAACCTGACATTTCAACTGAGAATGTAGTTGATTTAATAACAACAACAAAAAAAAGCAAAAATCACATGAGGACGCTGCAGTCATATGATTTTTTTGCATAGTCAGTCGCAGCTTTGACTTTGATTTATGCACTCTCTCCTCTCTGCCAAATAATGAGGGCTCAGTTTAAACAAGCCTGGTATCCCTAAGGCTATTGCCTTCACCTTTTTCCTTGGCTGGCAGTAGGAGGAAGGGCTGGCTCCAGTCAGGAGGGTGCTGAAGCACAGAGTCAACATATTCAAGAGGCACAGGACTGGACATCAGAGCCTGTGTTACTGAGAGAAACACTGGCTGAGGCACTGCAGGTAGTGACAATAACTTACATGGTTAAGAGAAAATGCTGGAAAAATTGAAGAAATTAAGAAAAAGAATTAGAAGTAGTCACAGTTCTAAAAATCTACTATTGGGCGACCTCTTCATTCTGTTGACAGACAGTGCCCCCCACCTGTCCTGCACAAAATAAAAATGGTTTAGTGTCACCCAGCTTGCTGGATTCTGGCTAGCCAGTGTCCCACTTGCCGGTGCAATGCTTTGGGATCACTGAAACCACTACAGAATTCCTGTCTTGAGGATCATACTTGCTTCTGCACCACATCATCTCACCAAAGCTTGCTCTTTGCTGCAAGCAAAAGCAAGAAACTTCACAAGGCTGCCAGGGCCGCAATGAAATTCAGTTGTTGCACTGCCTGCAGAAGAACACCTGGGCTGGTGAAGCACGTTGAACCTGAATTTGAACCACTGTTTGCCAATCTGCCTGTATTATCCTACTCCTCTTGAGCCGTTGATTATACCTCATTATGAGGTTGAGCAGCAGAGTCTGTTCTTCCTTTATCTGCACACTATGCAGGATCTACAATGAAGTACTTGTCTGTGTGTAGGTCAGGGCAACTAAGTATTGACTGAGCTAGATATTGACTGGCCATCATGACATATGGTCTGTGATTGCACCTCTAACTATGGGAATGTCGTACGGTGCAACCTTGGTCAGATGGCACACGCATGTGCCCACTAAATGTTTAAATAACATTTTCCTTAACAGTCAGCTGTGATCAGGAGCCAAGTGCATGGATGTGTTAGAATTGGCCCGTCTCCATCTCGCTTACAGCTGTTGCCCAGCCTGTGGGGAGAGACACATGGTTAAGTAGCGATGGGTCCATCAAACGCAGCGAGCTGTTGCAGTAACACTTGCAAATCAGGCTGTGGCAAGAGTTAATTTAGATTTCTGGAAAGAAACGTTCCTAATTTAAAAACAAATTAAGTACAAAAATTGATCATAGAGCAAAACTGGTATAAAAATGCCTGCAAGGTAAATGGTGTGGCTCTAAACAGGTCTCTCAGAAATCCCAGGGAATGCTGAAAGCAAAAGGAGTGAGTCATAAGCACATGAGCCGAAAGAAGCTGAAGACAAAATCATGCATCTCTGCTTAATTTCATCACATGATGAATCCTGGGGCCCTTCATTTAATCGGAGAGCAGAGCAGCGGAGAAACTTCATTCTCACTTCTCAGCGGGGACCAGAGGAGTTGCCGCGCGCGGGCACCTGGACCTCCTCGCTGCTCTGCACGCACAGGGCCGACACAGGGTCTCCGGCACCATGAGCGGTGTTCGCCACCACATCAGGTTCCTGCTCCTGGCTGAAGCGGTGCTGTGTGCTGCCACCACACGTGAGTCCTCCCTTCACCCCGTCCTCTCTCGGGTTCAAAGCCCTGAGCCGGTGCAGTAAAAACGGCTGCTCCTTGCACATGCGGCAGTTGCTGGAGCTGTGGTTTGGAACCGGCAGCTCCACCTCAGGACTGCCTGGCTCTGGGTAGAAATATCACCTGAGCTGGAGAAATATTCCCAGAGCTCTTTGGTTACTTATTCCCTGCGCTCCACAGATACACAGAGCTGACTGGAGCTAAGCCTCGCCTCATTTCAACAGATTTCTGATAATATTTCCCCAGCTCAAGCATGGCTAAATAGCAGATGCAGACTGGACTTCTCCCAGTTTGCTTGGCTCAGCTGTGGCTGGGAGAGGCCAGGTCAGAGGCAGTGCTCCTCACTGGGACACCCAGACCTGTGGATCCCCAATGTCGGTGACCCCAGCCAAGGAATTAGATCCTCAAGCCACGGTGGGCAGGCTCTGGGCCGGTCCTCTGCTTCTTTCCAGGTTCCCAGCTTGACCCAAATCTTAGGTTGACTCTCCGAGCTCAGGGCTGGGAACCCAGGAACAGGATAGAAGGCTCAAATTCCAGAATCTACAGTAAAGAAATGGAAGACCTTAAAAGCTGAGGTCGAGCTGAACAACCATCTAGCCTTGTATGTGTCTCCAATGGGAAACTGAAATGGGTGTATAACTGGGCAGGTGTATACTGGTATTGACTCAGGACACTTTCCCAACCTCTGACGATTCATTGCCTCTGTCAAGTGCAGAGTTGTTGTATTTAACAGTTTTTACTGGGCTTTTCTTCCATGCGTTCATGCATTTGAGTTTTGATTGCAACCTGTGTAAATTTTTTGCATGCACATCAACCCACCAGCAAGAAATTTCACACCTTAACTGTGCCTTGCACAAAGAAATAACTTTTATGTGCTTAGAACCTGTAACCTACTGGTTTCATTTGATTCTCCTTAATTTTTTTACATTCAGAAATAGTGACAAATTACTTCTCTCTCCATGCTGTTTGTGATTCTGTTTTTATCTTCTCCTCTGTCATCTCTTCTCCAGGCTTAAGATATAGTCTATGTAGCTGTTCCTCATATGGAAACAATTTGATCCTTTTGTAGCATCCTCACCACCAATCTCTGTAATTTTTTCTGTTTTCTTATGCCCTGCTTGAGCTGCAGAGAACAGAACAGCATACAGTATTCATGAACACATGCGGAATTACACAATGCTGTAATGACATTTTCATCCTTGTTCTCTATGCAGCCCTTTCCTAGTTTTTCAACTACCAATGGCCACTGCACTCAAAACTGTAAGATCTCATTTCTAAGTGGCAAAAAGCTAGTTCAGAGCCCCTCATTCTGTAAGTAAAGTTACATTAACTATGCTGAATTTCATATAGTTTTATTCTTGAGTCACTGAGTCACATACAGTCCTCTCCTCTACTACAGTAAGATGTTGTCTCCAGCAGATTAAAGACCTTCATGGTTTACCTGTTTTCCAGATCATGAATGATTTTAATTAATTCAACGATTGAGAAAACTGGCCACTTATTCATAACTTTTGGTTCATATATCCTAACCAGTAATTTATTCATGTGAAATCTTTCATTCTTATCCCATGGCAACTCAGTCCTTTTATGTGCCTTTAGCAAGGGACTTCATCAAATGTTTTCTGGTACTCAGGCAGACTATAACAAGCAGGTCAGCCTTGTTCCCATGCTCTCTGGCTCCCTCAGTGAGACTGGAATATCGTTCTGAGGAATGTCCTCCTTTTACGGCATATCATATTAATCCACTGTATCTGCTAATTCTGCTCTTCACTGCTGTTTCTACCAACTCCTCCAATCTGAGCCTCAACCTTTTTATAATCCTCTCCATCTTCCCTGGAAGTGTTTCTAAAAACTGTCATCGTATTTGCCAACTTTTGTTTCTCGGCTGCTGAAGCTGTTTTAAGCAAGATGTTACATGCTATGGTTAATAGCTCACTTATTTCACTCTTGAATAACTTCCATATTTTCTGAGCCAACCTATCTAGACAACTTCTTAATTTTGTTGATTTGTTTCCTAACTAATTTTTCTTTTGCCAACACTTCGAGAGAGATTCTCTATCACTGTAGAGAAAAATTCGAGGACAGAAACCTTTTGTGCTTCTCTTTTGTGAATGAAAATATAAACTAATGTATTTGACTTTCGTGCTATCCCCTAATCTTCCCTGAATGCTTCTTGGGTATCTACATAATCTTTTGGCCCTACAGACTTTCTGGCAAGATTTCCAGTACTTTTGTATTTGAAAAAAAAAAAAAGAATTAGTAGTTTTAATGTTTTTGCAAGCTGTTCCTTAAATTCTTCCCTGTCCTGCTTTATTATGTTTCTATATGTAATTTTAGAAAGTTTACATGGTTTTATATTGTCTTAGCTTGGCCTATAACTTCCGCCTTCTTTCTTGATTACTTTTACCAATACACTTTCATCCTCTTTAGGTGGGTCATCTTTTTTTTTGTATTCTAACATGGGCTGTCATTCCCTCCTTCATGGCTAACAACTATCACAGGAAATGCTGAACTTCTTGTCTTTGCTACATTCTTCACCAAAATGAAAACCAGAATGAGAAAGAAGAAAGTCAATCAGAGTATAAGATCGTTCTCTATGATAACCTCACCAAAACTATTACAGTAATCAGTTCCTTGGACTGCAATATTACTCTGTCTATTTTGAACTGTATTGCTCTAATTTTGGTTATGACCAACATCTGCTCTTCTGTGTTTTTCATTGTTGAAGAAGAAATACATTGAAGCTTTTTGTTCCTTTCAATTCAGCAACTGAAAATCTTCAGTTCCATATATTAGAAAAACTAGGGCTGAAGTCTTTGCTCATCTAAAAAACTATCTTTGTCTTGTCCTGAGGCTTGTGAAATGTTTTCTATTTGATTGAAATAGACAAAGCACAACAGGGAGGCACAGAAATGCCTAAGGAGCTTGTGATTTAGAAGCAGTGACCACAATTATTACCAAAGCTGGACAAGAAAATTACTTCTGAATTAAAGGAATGTTACTGAAAATTCAAAATGAAAAGCATTTATAAAATTAAAAGTGGTCCAGCTCTTTTTGGTGAATTGTTTGAGAAAAAAACCCCAGTGATTGAAATGTTTTGATATGACAAAATCAAAACTTTTTTATTACATAATTTTAAGATAAAATCAAAGAGAACTGGAAAAATAAATTAGGAAAAATCCCCAGCCACTTACTTTCAAATAAGATGACACATTAATTTAATGACCTAAAATGTAATTGAACTTGGTAAGCCTTTGTGAAATACTCTTATAGTCGCTAATCTGTTTTTTTCCTGAGAAAAGTTTCTGGAGGACAGCATTACCCAACTCTTATTCTGACCAAGACTGAAAACAATACAGCATGTGATACAGGCTGTTAAGTAAATGCCAGTCATGATGTTATGCTTTGCTCACATCCAAATATTTTAAGTCTGCAGGAAAGGCTTGAGTCAAGTGATTTTAGTGAGACTATGAGGAGTTCCTGTAGGGCAAAAGAATGTGGCAGAATATGTCTCTGAATGCAAAAACTGTTCTTTTCCTCTAACCTTTCAGTCCTCAGGACTGAGGAGACAGCTACCAGCATCAGTTTAGAGTGACCACCGAGGAGGGCCTGGCCATGAGATGTCCCTCCTGCCCAGCAGAAGTCTCACTGAGCAGTAACACATCAAGAGAAAGCAGCTCCTGCCTCTTCTCCAGTGCTGTTTCTCTGGTTCTCTCTTGCAGTAAAATTAGGAGTCACATGCCCATAAAGACCGTGCTCAGACTGGCTACACCTGCTCTGTGCCTCAGAGAAATTCCAACACAGCCGGTTATGTTACAGCACACAGGGCCATTCTTGCCCGTTGGACAGGTCTCTGCATTTTCCTTGAAGTCATCCAGCTCTTTGTTGCACTTGGGTATAAATCTCAGAAACATTTGGTATCAGCCACCTTTAAAATAAAGCCATGAGAAGCAGAAATCCCAACTCCCTTGATGTTGTGACAGAATGACACGCCCAGCAGTTACCTGATTAATATGACAGAGTTGTTTAGAGCCCCCAGGCTTTAATGAAAATCTGCCTATGAGCCTACTTACAAATGTATTTTTATGGCACCTCACAGCTGTTGGCGTGTTCCTACTGGTTACTCGGATATTTACTTTGCTTTTCATTACGTGTACTTTGTGACAGAAAGAGGGATCCTAGAAGGCCTGGGAAAAGTTGGAGCTCATCATTCGTAGTAACATGAGAAGAAAGAAGTTATTAAAGTTACTTAATATCTGAGCCATTTTAAGTAACAGGCATGAAGCTAATATGCTTTTGTTATTATATTCCAAACACTGAATTTACTAGTCAAATCTAAACCTCCTTTTCTGGAAATACCAGCTTCTGCTACAGTTGGTTCCACCTCTTCCGCCCAAGCCATCAGCCAACTCACCAAAGAAGCTTCACTGGGTCCAACTTGGTTCCTGGCACAACTTCCACTAGAGCACAACTCAGACACAGACTGACTTTATCCTGTTAGCCTTTTACTCACAGATTTATTTAAGAGGCAAGGACAAAGCAGTCAGCAATCAAGCAGCCTCTGTACACGTAGCTCAGTTGTCGCTGGGTTATGTCCATTCAAACAAACAATTGCTTTGATGTGGTCAAAATACTGTAAACATTTTTGTTCTTTCTTTGGAAAGCTTGCAATAGTGCAAGTAGAAAAACCTTGGTCTGGTGGAATTGTCTTTATATTGGTTATAGTTGACGTATTTATAGCTGTGATGATAAAATTCCATAACTTTCTATTGGCAAAGGGTTTTCTAATCAGTACATGAACACAGTTGTAATAAGAAGGCTGTTCAGCACAAGAGTAATGTCTTCATAGGATGTTAGAGAAAATGATATTGCATTGCATGTTTGTTTTTCTCTCTAGGGTTTCAAGATGTGCTGAGCCCTGGAAGAACTTCTGCCACATCCTACAAGAAGCTACAAGGCTGGTACACTGATCAAAATAAATGGAATGAAAAGCTTTATCCTGTCTGGGAGGAAGGAGATCCCAGATGGAAGGACTGCTGGAAAGGTGATTACACATATGCATTTCAAAGACACTGAGAAAACTGGCCAGAAAGTCTACCTCATTGAAGAGTGCAGGTGCTATAGTGCTTTCTCACAGGTGCAATATCCACCAGTGCTGCAAGGAAGAGCAAATTAGAGACAATTGGCTTTGATACCATTCCTGTATGTTGTCTGAGGAAGCAGAACAGCAAGTTGTTACAGTAGATATTTTCCCATGACTCATAGTCTCTGACATTAATACTTAGTAAGCTAGGAGAATCCATTATTTGAAACACGCCTTGGAGGACAGGGAGCTTCAGCCACTACCTCAGTAGGGCACTGCAGGCTTCAGTTTGACAATTTGGTGAGACCCTGGTCTAAGGGAGAAAAAAAGGATATTCTCTTTTGGATTATACTTACCCCCATGGGTAAAAAAATGTGTTCTTAGCTCTAAGAAGGAAATGAATGACAGACCAGTACGTGATGTGGGGGGATACAATGAGTCCCTCTAAGTTGGGGGTTTGATAAGAGTGCAAGTGATTTAGGAGCACAAAACCCCTTGGGAACAGAGGAATCAATAAAGTATTTTTAATGTAAATAGTGCACAGCTGAAGGTAGCTGCTGCTGCGATGCATCCTTTACTGCAGTGAAGACCAATTTTCTTTTCTGCAGGCGGGAGGGTGACAGCCAAATTGACCACTGACAGCCCAGCACTGGTAGGATCCAACGTGACCTTTGTTGTGACTCTCCAGTTCCCCAAGTGCCAGAAGGAAGACAATGATGGCAACATAATATACGAGAGAAACTGCACCCGGGGTAAGTAAGAGCATCTCCCCGCACTGTGCACACATCCGACTATGGTGCTGGTGTGAACATATCATGGATCTCTGAAAACACCAGCGAAGCACCCTGTGACAACAGCCATGCTGCTTTTGACTGATAACTACACTCGAGTCTAACCTGGACCAGTTTCTTTCCGCAGAAGATCACTGCGGCATTTTTACAGTTCTGCATATATAATGACCACGTAATTTAAGATTGGCCTTCCCAAAACAGTGACATTAATTTGGTTTCCTAACAAAACTGTTACGGCTTTTCAGCTCAGTCACAAGGTCGCACAGTCACATTGTTTTCTTGCAAATTTATAAAGCCGTCAATTTATAAAACTGAGGGGTTTTTTTTTCCATTTGGAGTTGTAGAACTCACTAACCATAGTCTGCATCTTGAAAAACCCTTAAAAAAGAGTAAATCTCATATTCCTACATTTTAAGAATTAAAACAAACCAAGAAAATAAAACATTTCAAAATCAAGCAATCTTTTCATCGGAGAATCACCTTCTTCAACTTATTTACTATTATATGGAGGAAAAACCCTATTATAATTCCAGTGTTTGAAGCTGCCAGATCTAGAGGGAAACAAGCTGGGGGAACCTTTCTTCCTCAGAATTCATAAATATTCTACACATTTTTTTACTGATTGAAGTAATTTTCATTTCAAGGCATATCAGCAATTTTTTTTGTCAGCCTGAGTTCTGCTTTTTGACCCTCTAATATTTTGTTAACTGCTGATAACCACTGTCAACTTCATATCTGTTGTGCCATTTGAGGAAGGAAACTGTGTTTTCATTATTCAGAAAGGAACTGAAATTCATGTCTAAGTTATTTAAAGGTGCCACAGAAAACTTTTTTTGACAAAACAAACTAAGCTGCTTCCTCACACTGCTTCCACGACTGGTATCTCTACTTCAAATTTTAGGTTCTGCTTGCCAAATGTACAGGTAGCCCCTCTAGCTCCAGTGAAAGAGCAGCATCCTGTGTAGCTGGCGGCAGGTTTTGGGAATGCAATTTTAAATTGTGTCTTTCCCATGAGACAGTAAACTTTTTTTAGGCTTCTAAATAAAACAATGCCAGGCCAGAACAATTCAGTGTTTACACTAAAAACAAAACAAAAGGCACAACCTTAGAGAAACTGAATGTCAGTCTAAAAATACCCCACCTAACCTGTTGTTTAAGTGCAATAACTGCTGTAACCTGGGGTGTCCACCTCCTGCTTCCTGCACATTTCTCTGTTGACTGGGAAAATGTCTTATTTCTACACTTAGATCCTCCAGCTTCCCAGGATCAGCAAGTCTATGTCTACAACTGGACTGAATGGGTCAACAACTGTGCCTGGGAAAACTGCACAAGCAACCACAGCCAGAACATATTCCCAGATGGAAGACCTTTCCCTCATTATCCTGGCTGGAGGAGAAGGAACTTTGTCTACGTGTTTCACACGTTTGGTTAGTACTGCAACACATCCCTTGGTGCGGCTGATGCTGCAAAGCTTATATTCACTCTGTACGCTAACTCATTTGTTGAGTAGATTTTATCAAAAGTCCTTTAAAAGGGATTCCACGCTCTTGAGTGGAGATCCCAAATTCATTCCCCACTTTCCAGAGAGGGCCATCAGCTGCTCAGTCTGGAAATCACGGATTACCAGGAGATTCTCCTTAATCTGCACACCTGCCAGATAACTGAAAGGCAATTTTAAACTATTCATTTTGATTTAGACAATCCAAGATTCACATAGATATTGCTTCTCTTAAAACAACTTATAGATAGGCTAAAGGAAAAACATTTTAAGTTCATCTTCTATTTCAGGTCAGTACCACCAAACAACTGGCCGATCTTCAGTGAAGTTCTCAATCAACACAGCAAACATCACCCTTGGCAAACACGTGATGGCTGTATCCATTTACAGGAGAGGGCCCTCAGCACACATTCCAGTTGCAAAAACAAGCGCGGTTTACCTTGTCACAGGTGAGGCTGCAGGAATAGACTGTAACAAAACACTAGGGGTATTTGTTGTTCTGTTATTAAAAGAATTTAGCACAAGCATCAGCTGGCACGAAAAGAAGACGTTGGCCTGAGAATGTTTTTTAATACAAATGTGGAAATCTCTGGCAAATTCCCCTGAGTAGTGCAATTTACCTTTGTATCTAGCCCAGTTGTGACACGTCTACTTCGTAATGAAAAATTATTTATGAGAAGAAAGGCAACCTTCCACAGATGCCTGTGGTTCTTTATTTGTTCCTGTACTTTTCTGTTTCCTAATGACACCCACTCCTCAGATCAGTAAATTGAATTCAGATAGAAATCTGTGTTAAAAATATTAACATCTCATATTCTGACTGTTGCTGTTCAGGGACTCTGGATGGATGGACAGGTATGTATGCTTTATTTATTTACTTTTTTTTCCCCCTCTAGACCTAATTCCAATAGTTGTGAGTGTGTTCCAGAAACATGACCGCAACATCTCAGACTCCATTTACATCAAAGACTCACCGATCACGTTTGATGTGAAGATCCACGATCCCAGCTACTATCTTAATAATTCCGCCATCTCCTACAAGTGGAATTTTGGAGATGGAAGCGGCTTATTTGTAGTCAGTAGTTCCACTACATCTCACATCTATACTCTGCAAGGAAACTTCACTCTGAATTTATCTGTCCAAGCCATTATACCTGTACCCTGCAGACCAGTGATACCCACTGTACCACTGCCCACCTCAGCAGGTAAGAGTTTATTGAACAGCAGTGATATCAGGAGCTATGCTAAAACTCTAAATTCTAGTATCTTGGGAAGGTTTATGGTCATCAGTGAAAGAGCTGCAAAGCTCTGCAAACCTTTCAGAAATTGGTTAAGAGACAGAATCAATAAGAATAATAAAGTCGGACCACCACAGTGACAGCGTACAGGTCTTCAGGTGGACATGCAGTACACACAGGTTTGTTTTTATACCCTCTATCACACCAGGTCAAGTGGTCTTCGCTTTGGACATGAATTTTAAGTGATAATGAGGTATTTCAGAACACTTTGATGGCCAGTTCCTTTTTGGTTTGCATTAATCTCCACCCAAAAATAAATGAGATCAGATTGAACTAGAAAAAACTTAACTCGTATTCCAAAACATGGGATTTCCATGTGGCATTAACCCAGAATGTCTTTTCCACTTTAAATTTATGCACTATGGTATTTCAGAATAAATTCCATTATGCTCAGCATTGGTCTATCATCTCAGAGGGTTTTAAGGTTTGCAAAAGGCCTGTAGTTTCAGCCTGGATAATTATAATACTACTAATATTAAATTGTAGATGTGACTATATTTTTCAAATTTCTGAATTTTAATATGTGTTTTTACCAGACTGTTGAGTAAGAGTGAAAAATGAAAGGAAAGATATAACTTTTACCACTTCCTCTCTTCATTTTTCCACTAGCTGTAATGTAGAGCAAGGGGGAAATACCTGCTTTTAAAGAGAGCATTTTAAACATTTTATTGGTCTTTGGATTTCTTTTATAACTGATTTGGGAATTTTAAAGAAGTGTTTAATTATATCAGACCTTGCAGTCTCACTTTCATTATACAGACACGGGTGACTAGCAAGGTGGCTTTTAGAGTGAGGCTACCCAGGCCACTCCAGGGTTCTGCAGCTGGGCATATGTGTTTTAACATTCATTCCCGTGATCCCGAACAGATACATACGTGTCTGCACAGCTACAAATCAAAGCCAATAGCAACCTGGGTAATTAATGCGGTTGAAACATATGGCCAGAATACCTCTAAGCAGAACTTGTTCTACAGCTGCATATCTGTTCTTTTCTTCCTCAACTCAACAGTAACCACTGAAGCATCTTCTAATTCAGACTCTTCTACCACTGTCGAATCAGTGGAAGATAATCCTGATGAAGGTTGCCATATTTACAGGAATGGATACTACAGTGCTGGTATCTCTGTCGTAGGTAAGGACACGGGTCAAGACCTAAACAGAGGAATGGGGTTAAAAACGTGCAAGAGAGAATGCTTATTTAGGCTCTCTTTTATCAAATGTGTGAGAACCACAATAAGATCCCTCTTTTCAACGTAGCCGTTTTTTCTTTTTAAAGATAAATGCACATGGCTGGTGGGGACACACGCTGTATCACTGCTTTCCCTATCATCAGCCGTGCCTGAAGCATACTAGCCTGGGAAGGGGAGTCAGATAAGGTTGAATTGACCTTGACATGCACAGAAATCATGGGGAGGGGGATGTAGAAGTGACTTATAAAATAAATAAATAAAGAATAATTAATGGAAAAACAAAGCAGAGCAGAAAAAAGCAATGTCACAGGGAAAACACTGGAAAGTTTCTCAGCTTTCAAATTCTTTGAGAGGAGTGCTAAGAGAGGTAGGAGGTTGTGGAAAACAAGACCTGGACTGAGCATCAGCCAAACACTTGAGGTTCTGTACACACAAGCTTCAGAGCTTGTCATGCGTCCTACTGTTGACATCTATTTCCTCTCCCAGAGGGAATCCTTGAGGTAAATATTATTCAGATGACAAGCATCCGGACGACAGAAAGTCAAGCTGAAAACTCACTGGTTGACTTTGTTGTTACATGTCAAGGGAGGTAAGTGTGTGAATGAAACTGTCGATCTTCCCTCTTTAAAAATAATTAGGTGCTGGAACACTATTTGCACTTAAATGCAGCTGCACGAACAAAAGTTGGGAACGGCAATGTTTCTATTTCTTGACTGGAACTAAAGATAGTGCAAGTAAACTGCCAGGCTCTTAGGATTGAGAACAAATGTCAAGCCTCAGTAAAAATAAGAGAACGAGACAGCATGGAGAAACAATTCTATATTTTCCTGGCCAAGACCAGATTCCAGCACTTACTGTAAAATGGGAAGCAGTCTACTGAAATTGGAAGGAAATACTTTCTTTTTGGCCATGATTTTTTGACACTTAGAGTAAATGGGTGTGTCCAAGCAATTTCTTGGATAGGAAAACATTGCACTAATATTCCTAGCTCATAGAAGGGGATTAAAGTTGAGAGTACTAAGAAGTAGAAGAATTGCCTTGGTAGTGCAACTGGAAAACAATTAACCTCTCAAGTTAGTGTTTACTTTTTCAGCACATGACAATACACATAAGAATTTATATTCCTTTCTTAATGGTGTGTTAAAAGTAAAGGACTTTATAAGATGATTTGAGGTGGGTAATTCTGTGATCACTGTAAAATGTTAAATGATAAATGTAAGCCAAGCAGATAATTTTATAGATTGTATACATGCATTTTATATAAAATCCACATGTACACATATATGAAATGTATAGGTATGTATAAAATATATATATAATGCATTACAAAGCACTCTCAAATCACTGTAGAGCCACTGATTTCAGTAAACAGGCACCAGCATAAACCTGGGGCAGCAGTGAGATGTATCTATGAATTGGGCTAACAGGACTCCACAGATGCAATGAGCTCTCTCTTCCCATCCCAGTCTCCCCACAGATGTCTGCACAGTAGTTTCTGACCCCACATGCCAGGTGTCCAAGAGCATGGTATGTGACCCCATTGTCGTCACTGACGAATGCTTACTGACCATCAGAAGAGCTTTTGAGGAACCTGGAACATACTGTATAAACATCACCTTGGGGGATGACACCAGTCAAGCCCTTGCCAGCGCGCTGATTTCCGTAAATGGAGGTGAGTCCACACACCACAGATGTAGGTCGCCTGCAAATAGCTTCTCCCTGCAGTCACTTCCCTGCAGGGGAGGAAAAACACAGGAATTCATATGAGTTTTTTATTATGCCTGGAGTCCACACAAAGATAAATCCCCTGTGGGAATTTTAGATGTTAGAATTTGGTTTGATTTATGTTTCCAACCCAAGTAGCACAGTAATTATACAAACCCTTCACTATCACAGAATATGAGCAGTTCTTAAGCTGCACTGCATTTTTCCCCAGAGTAACTCCATTGGGCAGAAAAGCAGGTGGGGGCCATGCCAGCCAGCCTGTTCCACACACGGAGAAATAGGAGAAACAGTCTGGAATTCAGCTCACTTGAGACAGAATCAAACTCTGCAGCTGACCTGGCTGCCCTGGGCCCTCTTTGTAGCCCATTGACCTTGACCAGGTGACCTTGACTGGTTTCTATTTCTACATAACGATAAGACAAATCAGGTTTTGGAAAAATCTGTGTAACATTCATTGACTACAGAGTCCACCCAGGGTGACTATTTCAGAACAGGAGGCTTTTTCTCTTTTCAGAACAGGTTGGATAAGTATCACTGAGTCTTGCTCACGGTTATCCAAGCAGTCTTTGACAGAACCAGATATTAAATTCAGTCTCAGTCAGAAGCCTAAATGACGACGCTGTCTCTCTGCTTCCACTCCACTGCCCTCCTGCCTTCCCACTACTGAACTCTTTAATTACCATCAGCCAAGCAACTGACTCTTTGTGGTCAATTGCCACAGTATTTTCGGCCGGTTTTAATTAATCTAGGTATAAGTTTAGCTGCACCAAAATCAGTTCATGATGACTAAGGCACAATGCCTGATCTGTAAGTGCATTCCGCCTCCTAAAGACAAAAATAAGCACGCAGTAGGATTTTTCAGAACTGTATTCACAGAGGCTAACTTTAGCTTGACAAGGCTGGTCTTTCCAGGTTTCCTCCAGAGGGCAAACCTAAGTTGCATTTTGGGGTTTTCACTATAATGAAAGCAGAATTAGGATCTAAGGGAAGTTGATGCTTTGAGTTGCCTTCTGGAGGAGTATTTGCAAAGATTTCTCACGTGCCACAATCTTCTACTCATTTCAAGAGAAGGCAAGTATTTACAAGTTTCTGGAAATCCTATAATTTGGTGCCCGAGTATTTGGTGCCTAAACAACTGGCCTTTGAAATTTGGCAGGACTGTGCCTGGGTTATGTAGGCACTGCACAAAACATCCGCTTTTAACTTGCATAAACTTCTGTTGAATGGGTTGCAATCCTATGATTTAGACCCATGCCATCAATTGGTGTTGTTTTTCAAACTAGTTTGAGGACCTACCTCATGCATAAAACAAATCCCTACAGTCTCAGCAAAAATATTGTGTAAAGGAGGAATGAAGCCAAGCCTTCACAAACAATTGTATCAACAAACTGAGAAATATATGAGGCATACGTCACAGATAAATGGTAAAACCTGATTTAACATATTGATTTTCATGGACAGCAATTATAAATTAATAACTGGAAAGGTAAGCCAATATGGACCTCTAGGTTACTACACTGTTGTTAATATCAGGACCAAGAATGCATCTCAGTGTCAGTAAACTCAGTAAAGGTACACCCTGTTGACTAGAAAATTAAGATATTTAACACAAATTTTTTAAAAAAAAATACTTGCAATGATTTGGCTTCTTCCCTCAGATATGATGGAATTAGGAGTAGATGTGAGTGTAATGGTTGATGGCAAATCAGAAGGCACAGCTGAATGACAGGCAGAGACTAAAGTTAATTTCTAAGAAGGAGCACATTAAAAAAGCAGAGCCCTCAGCTCTTGGATAAGGCAAACAAACATAAGACTACCAAGCTCTCAGCCACACTGCCTTCTTAGCATATGGGACTGCAACAAATATTTAAGAAATTCCTCTTTTATCTGCTTTCTCCCTGGCCATCATCCTAAGAGAAAGGTGATGCTGATTCTAACATTAAAGCTTATAATGAGACCGCACCTCTTATACCCTCAGTGTAAACATTTCCTTTGGCAAGGAGCAAACTGGCCTCACCTCGTGGGGTGTGTGCAAGACCCGCCGTTCCCTTCCATGCTGGAAGGGCAGCCACGTGTCTCAGGAGCACGACTCACAAGAAAACTAACAAAGCCCAACTTACACTCTGGTGGAACCCAGAATTAAAGAAATTAGGATGTGAAAGCACCACCTCCTGCCAAAATCACTGACCTCTGTCGCTTAGCATATTAGAAGTATTAAGTGTACTTCAATCTGCACAGCAATCAAGTAAAACAGACATTTTCTTCAGAAAAACCTGTCTTAGTGTAAAAACAAGGCTACCTTTTAATCAAACTACTTTCTAAACTCTAGGATCATCATCAGGAACAACAGAAGGTGTCTTTATCTTCCTTGGTTTGCTGGCAGTGTTTGCCGCCATAGGGGCTTGTGTCCTTTACAAGTAAGTTGAGTTTCTACAATTAAAAACAGTTCATAGTACGAATAGTAATACCAGAAGGCCTGGGAACTGCATGTAAGCAGTAAACAAACTCAGACCGCATGATGTGATTTATGTACACAGTAAAACCTAACAAGCAGAAATTTAATTCAATTCTAAAACTCTTACAAGAAGTCTTTGTGATGACTGACAGATCAAAATTCTTCATTAAATAATTGACAAGTGAATTCTTGGGGAAAAAGGTGCTGGGCCTGCAGGAAAGTAGTTAAGAGAAGAACATGTTGCTGCATTATTAGCTTGGACACTTCTCACGAAACTTTGACCGCACCAAGATTCCTGAATCAAGAGAGCGTAAGTGAGAAAGACCCACCTCCAAAGAGCAACAGCACTCCACTAGGGAACGAAGCTTTCTCATTAAGCAGGCCTGGGTCACCGCTACTGACCTATGGCTGTTAACCATTAGATGGGATTGAAGAGGGAAGGGGGAGAGAGAACATACGTTACAAAGATATGATTAGTTCTCTTGTGTACTGGCCACATGCTAAAAGTTGACTTTCATATAAATATCTTTCAGCAACTAATTGTGCACATTCCTTGCAGGAGATACAAGCAGTACAAGCCTATCGAGAGAAGTGCAGGACAAGCAGAGAACCAGGAGGGACTAACGGCTTACTTAAAAAATTTCAAAGCAATTTTGTTCCCTAGTAACACCGAGAAAAATCCTCTGCTGAAAAGCAAACCAGGCATTGTTTAAGCCTTTAATCTAACACCAACTACCAGATTACATAGAGGACTCGTATCTGAACTCTACTTTGATGGGGTTTTCTTATTGTTATGGAAAAACAGAGGGTAAGGTGAAAGCACATATAGATGGGGTGGTAACGTCTAGGGGCTTGGTGCGATTAGAAATATGAAAATAGTCCTTTGTAGAAAACAAAGAGGTAGTTTTAAACACCTGCTGTTCTTGCTTGTAATCTAGGATATAGTCTTCTGAATAACAGTCCCGTCCCCCGCCCCTTATCTGGGTTTTCTTACTTCTGGCTTAACTAACTGCAAAACTAATCTGATCCATAATGTGGAGGAGAAAAAGGTTAATTAAAAAAAAAAAACACAAAAAGAAAACCAAACACAAACAACTTCTAAATATTTGGTCTTGAACAGGCAATTCACTAAGTATAGTGGCTTACCGCCTCAGCAAGATTCAGATCTTTGCTAGAAAGAAGGGCACTGGGTGGGGGGTTTCGTTCCACGTTATACCCATGGAATGAGACGTGCCATGGCCTGTTCCTGGGCATTGGCACTGAACCACTCCCACTGTTACACTGCCCAGGAGGTCCTAGCACAGTCTTGCCCCAGGGGGGGCTAGCTCCCCACCAAGCAAAACCCCGATTCTGGGAACCACCCGAGGCCCTGTTCCCCACCAGGAGTTTGGCAGCAGCCACCCTGTTTTGCAGGGTTCAACAGCAGGGATGCGGCTCATTACGTTCCAGAAAACAGGGCTGGACACAGTTAGTTCCCTACTGGACATGGCTACCAGTGCATGAGTCTCACCATAAACTAGACAACACACCCCCAAGCAACAAGATGAGGGACACCTGCTTAGTGAAACTTTTACTCTGAGTCCCATGTAAAATCCTCAGATCCAACTTCTGATGCTTTGTCTCGTTTGTTTCTGCTGCTCTTGAGACACTGGGCTGGCACCACCTCTCCCCAGAGGGCAGATACGTGCTCCGGGTACAAGGGTCAGCAGAACAAGGGCTCTAGCAGGAAGGGGTAGCCCTCAACTCCCTTTTCCCCATCTCTTCTCATTGATTTCTGCTTGCTCCTCCATCCCTCTGTCTTTGACCACTTAAATAAACAAAAACCCCAATATAAACAAAGCACTATGCTCCAGTTTTTGCTTTTGCATGATGCAGCTTAGAAAGTGTAAACTGCTGAAAAATCCACGCACCTTCACTTGTTCACTCTAGCTGCAATTCGGTGTTAAGGAAACTCATGCTGAGGCCTTCCCCAAGTGATCTGGTCTTCTAACCATCCATGCTCATCATTTTCCATTGCAGTATGTCACAGCAAACTGCTGAAGGCTGTATTACTGGATGATGAGAAAAGGAGAGCATCTTATTTGTAGAAGAGGTTGCTAAAAAAATTCACTGAGATGAGAAAACAGACCAAAAGTGCTTTAAATAGATCATTGCTTTAATATTAAAGGTTCTAATCAAAATTAAATTAATTTTCAATTGAGGGCTGGGCAAAGGACCTTACACAATCCATTTCTAAACACTGAATTCTTTGAATATCTGTATTTCAACAAAATTAGCTTGTTTATTGTGCCTTGAAATATCTCTGATTCATAGTGTTCTCAGTTCCTGAGGTGATATATAAGCATAAACATATTTTCCTGGTATCTTAGCAGACCTGTCAAATGTTTGTCATTTGTAATCTTAACCTAGTCTTCACTTCCCCAGTGTGCATGCACACCTTTAAATCACTTAGGGGTACAAAAAATGCAGATTCCAACACTCCTGTGACGTTAGGTCTTTAGTTCTAAAGTTTCCAGGTTCTCTATTTTAATTTTTTTGTGGCCATTTCAGTTATATCCTTAAGTACCATATTTGCCGTTGTTCCATCTTCCTTATACATAACATCTTACTGTCTAACCGTAACTGAGCACCTAAAACTATCTCTTATTTAAACAGAAAACACATTTCCTGCAAGAAATACTGCCTGAATGTTATGTCTTCTGTTATCACACAGACTGCTGACAGGAAGGACTGTAATTTGTATTTGTTGCTGTAGCTTGAGGCAGGACAGGGGTTTAGTGGAAAGCTTAAGATGACCTGTAATGCAGCATGGAAAAATTAAATCTGTCACAGCTATAATGCTTAGGATCAGTGATGACACAGGCTACCACTGAGCTAGGCTACATGCAGAAAGCATCTACTTTCAGCAAAACACTGCATGTTAGGAGCTCAAAGACATCTTAAGCTTTTGCATAGAAAACAGCTTTTGGGCATACTTTTATATCATTTAACCTAAGTACACAGAATAGCTTGCACTATCTTCCTTTAAATATCAAGTCAGAACATTACATTTTTATAATTTAATTTAGCCTTTTCAGCTATAACTTTCATTTCATACGTCTTTTATACAATGTAATCTAACTGCTGTATCGACAAATAAACTGATAATTTTAAAGACTGCATTTCCTTTCTTTTGTCTCAAAAAGAGATACTGTCAGACAAGCAACTTGACAGGTTGCCTAATTACCAGTCAAAACAGTATGTACCTCCAGAAAACACAACTGGATTCACCTTATTCTTAATTCACTTAGGCACACCTGGCACCACTGTTGGTTATCTGGCTGATTTTGCAGTCCCCTCCAAGTGTACTCAGAGAAGCGGCACCACAAATCTGGGGTTTTCTTAACAACCAGATGACAGCTGAGGAACTAAATTTCAGAACGGCTCAGGGTATAAATGAACTTCACATCCTTCAAAGCCAAGAGCAGCTGACAAACAACAGATTTGTGAATGTCAGCAAATGTTACAAGAGGGGTTTCAAGCATCCCCTTTGGAGAAATAACGTCAAAGAATGACATCAAACATAAATATACATCATCTTTAGAAAGAACATCTTTTCAAACATGTCTTCAAGAGAAGCTGAAACATTAGTTGGGTAATAAGTTCATTAAAAATTACTTTAAAGAAGAATGTATTATTTCAAATCACTTGTTTTGTTCCTCCACTTGTTTCTTCGTGAACACTTTTTATAGCACGCATTTATGAAACTCATCAAATGAAGCATTTTTTTCTTTCCAAAAGTATTTCTAAGCTGAAACTAAGGCGAAAAAACACCATCCCCTGAAAGAATTGTAGAGGAATCAAAACGATCTTTACAAGAGGCACGCAAACACTGTGGCCTGTAACTGACCACCTCCAGTGCGGCAGAATTTCCGTTAAAGCTAAAGCTTTTAACACTACAGGTCTTTGTAATTGACAGGATTGTGCCTTTTAACATCATACTCAGTGAGGGAGGGGAAGACCAGCCTGAACAGTAATTAATTTCTGTTAACTGTCAGTGTAAATGCCAACAGCTTCAGCGGAAAGAGGTGCAGGGAAATAGGCTTCACCCCCAGTAAATGCTTGAACTTGCCTCAGTCACCACTTTTTAGCCCTTGACAGCATTTTCCATGATCCAGAGAAGGGCCACGAGGATGATGAGAGGGCTGGAGCACCTCTCCTGTGAAGACAGACTGAGAGAGTTGGGGCTGTTCAGTCTGGAGAAAAGGTGGCTCCAGGGAGACCTTATTGTGGCTTCCAGTATCTCAAGGGGGCTACAAGAAAGCTGCTGAGGGGCTTGTTAGGATGTCGGGCAGTGATAGGACTAGAGGGGATGGATTAAAGCCAGAGATGGGTCGGTTCAGATGGGACGTGAGGAAGAAGTTCTTCCCCATGAGGGTGGTGAGACCCTGGCACAGGTTGCCCAGAGAGAGGGTGGCAGCCCCATCCCTGGGAGTTTTTAAGGCCAGGCTGGATGGGGCTCTGGGCAGCCTGATCTAGTGGGGGATGTCCCTGTCCACGGTGGGGCGTTTGGAACTAGATGATCTTTAAGGTCCCTTCCAACCCTGACAGTTCTATGGTTCTGTGAAAACAAACACAGCAAAGCTACTACCCTGCACCCATTAACAGTGCTGCGGGAGTCACACAAATATAAAACACGCTTTCCCGAGGAAATATATATGAGTTTCAAACCAGCTGCAGCTC